CTACCAAGCCTAAGTGGAGGGACGTCTCAGCGATGAGTTCAACCACGAAAAGCTATTGGGCCCAATGGGACAGCTTGCTGATTCAGGATGGAGTCCTGTGCCGTAAATGGGACAATGGTCGAAGAGACAGCTGTCGTTTGCAAATGGTTGTCCCTAAAGCTAAAGTGTCGAATGTTCTACAGTTGTGCCATAATGGTCGTTCAAGAGTCCATCTGGGAGTTAAACGAACTCTACTGAAGGTCCGAGAACAGTTTTACTGGGTCCATTATCGTGACGATGTCGAGGATTGGTGTCGTACATGTACAAGTTGTGCGGCCGTGCGGGGACCTCGGACACGTAGTAGAGGAGCACCGAAACTGTACAATGTTGGTGCACCATGGGATAGGACAGCCCTTGACATTGCGGAGCCGTTACAGAAAGGCGCAAGAGGGACTGTTAAGATCGTCCATGTGGATCGCCTGGCGCGATATTATGGGGCCGATAATGCTCGGGACGAGCATGTCTTAGGAGGGGGCAGTGTTACGCGCCGAAGTCGACGGCACTAGCGCCATCTAGTATCAAATTGAAGAACTAAACTTTCTAGAAGCTCTACACTCGAACTTTCTGCGCTTGGTTGGTTGGCGCGCGTATTTACTCGAATATTCTGGATGTTTTCGTGGAAGAGCCCTATATAAAGGCGCTGCAATACGCGATCGAGGAAGTATTGGATTTGGCGAGACAAGTGAAGCTTCGGAGCGAAATAAAGTGAATCAGTGTGATTAATTATTAGTGTTTTAAGTTTTAATTTTTGTAAAGAAAATTAAAGTGTTAATTTAGGTAATTTTATCGGCAATTTTTACTGTCACGAACCTCAAGCTCGTAACAATATTAACAGCTTAAAATATACAATACACAATTAAAAAAATAATACAAAAAACTTGGTACTACAAAGTAATATTAATAGTTTGATAAATTTTGTACCGAAAAACGTTAAAAGAGTCGTGGTGAATATCTATTACATTATTATAAGTACTTTAATCTGTTAACATATGATACATTTTTATATGATTATCGTGTTGAAAAGGCAATATGCCATAAAAATCTTTTATTTATGCGCTCAAGTCGAAGGGTATGAGTAGAATAATGTGACGCCAGACTGTGCTACAATATTCTAATATACTTCTAACAATTGAATTGACGATATGGGGTAGTGGATGATATTCTTACACTGCATTGTAAATTAACGTTTTTTATATCAAAAGTACCTACATCAATATTATACAAACTACTTAAAATTGTGTTTCGAAATTAATTAAGATCTTAATCTTACCTGTTAATGTGTTTATCATTTCTACGTACCACTTTGAACCGACAGATTATCAATCTATCTCAAATTAGATAATTTCTCACGTACTCGGCGGTGAAGGATAACATCGTGAGACAGCCTGTATGTCTGATAAATATTGTATGAAAAAAATTCGAAGACATGTGAAGTTCGCAACACGCTTTGAGACAGAGTGGCGGAAATTTCTTTGTCCTAAAACCCTCTGAGAAATGAGAGGAGGCCTGTGCCCAGGATTGAAACGTTCCTATATAGGTTTTGACTTTCAATTATTTCCACGTCTTATGGGATTTTGCTGTATATATATGCGGCTAATATAGAAACTATTTTTGTTTTGCAGAAGAATACCATAAGATAATATTTACAACTTAAGACCAGTAGAGCCTCTTAGAGAGTTTCTTAGAGAAAATTAAAAGAAATAAATATATTAACATTGGCCTCTCAGTATATTTATGAAAATTTAATTTATGTTTACAAAAACAAAGGTAGTTTTAGTAAATAAGTGATGTACACTCTGTAAACATTAGGAACAAAAATACAAGCTATAAGATACCAGTTTCTCGACTCCACAGAGTGTCCTAGAAAATATACATGGTCTCTCTACTACCAAGTTTAAATATTTTATTAAACCAAAACTGTATAAAAAGGTTTATTATAACATCAGTGAATATAACATAACATGGTTGATAATAAGCCCTGGGAATAAGGTGGTCGCTTCCAAGCTCTTTCTAATACATTTGTAAATAATTTGTACACCATTTCATATTGTAAAATTTAGATGCTTTTCAAAAAAATCCCACAGGGTTCATTCTGGTTCTTTCCAGGACAGAGGCTTTTTTATCCGAACCAATGTTAAAGTAAAAAATCAGCCAAGTGCGAGTCGTACTAGCGGTTGAAGGGTTCCGTACAATCGTAAAAACACGTTTTAGTAGGGTAGCACCCTTAAATTTTTAATTTATTTTTATTATTTGTTGCTATAGCGGCAATAGTAATACACATTCTGTTGAAATTTCAATTGTCTACCTATTACGGCTCATAAGCATGAGCACGAGACAACCGGACGGACAGTGGAGGCTTAGGACGAGGAGTAATAGCGTCCTGTTGGTTACCCTTTGGTAACGGAACCCTGGAAATGGCTTTCAATAAGAATTATATACTAGTGTTCTATACTGAATAAAATAATATTCTTTATTTATTTCTTAACTTTTAACTTTAGATAATTTAAATGAAAATCATTTCGTGTATGTGGTTACCATCTTGACAAGTTTGATATAGTGATGAGTTTTTGCTTTAGTTTACAAGCTGATGAAAATGTGAATTGGTGGTGTTACAAAATCTAATACCCGATATTATCACATGAGAGGCGAAAGACGGAAATTAAACAGAAATAAGAAACTGCGGTTGCCCATCCACCTGTCCAGGGTGGCAACTAAGTCCGAAACCTCCATAGGAGGATAAACGAGGGAGGCCTATTTTCAGCAGAGGAGTTTTGATAAGCTGTGATGATGATTATGATTTGAGTAAAATGAGGTATTTGTCAGGTCAACAAAATGTTTCCGCTTATTTCTCTGTAGTACTTTCCAGCATATACACATTTATTTATTACATATATGTATTATAATAATCTATGTATAACTGTGTATCAGAATGACCTTTCGCTATCTTAAAATATACTACTATATAAGTATAATACGAGTAGGTATATGTAAATATTTTAGTGACTTGGACTTGGACAGGGATGCCTAATTTTTGTTTTGAACCGATCTTCTGTATCGTAATGGATCGTAACCTCGTGATTCGATTCACGATTTAATCATATTGCATTGAATCGATCTCATTCGATCTCGAAAAATCGAATGGTAATTTTATAAAAATAATCTGAAAGGCCTGATGTGTAGTTGAGTGTATTATTTAAAATAAACCAAACCAATGTTTACTTGTTAATTCGAGGAGAAAATAAAACTCCTTGATGCCGATATTATCGCCGTGTACTTCACAATTGACAAGAATGAATTAAAAAATAGGCGGTGGTTACAACTTTAGAAAACAAAACAAAAAAAAGAACTAAGTAAAACGTATGTAACGCAACTTCGTGCGTAACAAAAAACAACAGGCGTTTGCGCAGACATGCCCCCCCGGCGTTGAAAGCTTGTCTTTCAACAAAATTAGCATTCCTTGTTGTTAGGTAAAGGGCAGATTTTGCAGAAAGGTCTTCGGACGATTCCGGTGGCAGTTCTGATATCGGCAACGCGGTTGATTTTTTTTTATAGAATAGGGTGACAAACGAGCACACAGTCCACCTGATGGTAAGTGGTTGCTGCGGCCCATAGACATCTACATCTATCTTCCATTACAAATCAAAATGCAGATGCGTTGTCACCCGCGAGGACTGAGATGGAATGCCTCATTTCCAGTAACAAGGGTCTCCGGTTCTCTACACTCACCATACGAAATACAGCAGCATTAAGCTACTATTTCACGCTGGTATTCTGTGAGAGCGTGGTCCTTCCCCCGGTCGAGCCGACCCATTCGTGCTACAACTATACTACTAATATAACTGCAGCATGGCTCTACCACGTGATGCCGTCGGCTCCGGGATGAAAGGCTGTAATTCGACCCAGTCGCCATTTGAGCGGCGGTAAATTGTCTTCCTTCAGGACTACAAGATCACCCGTCCCTAAAGTGTCAGCATTGGAACGCCATTTTGATCTCTGATGGAGTTCTGAGATATATTCCTTGCTCCATCTTCTCCAAAAATGTTGACGAAGTTGTTGGATGCGTTGGTATCGACTCAGTCTACTGCTAGGGACTTCTTCGTAATTTTGAGAAGGAAGAGAGGTGATGGGGCGGCCGATGAGGATATGTCCCGGGGTTAATGGCAGTAAGTCATCAGGATCCGTGGAGAGAGGTGTCAGCGGACGAGAGTTCAGTATACCTTCAATTTGAACCAGCACAGTGTTTAATTCCTCGTATGTAAGGTTACAATTACCTAAAACTCTCCGTAAATCATATTTTATTGACTTAACGCCTGCTTCCCAAAGACCGCCAAAGTGAGGGGCTTGCGGAGGAATGAAATGGAAATTTATATTTTCCTGAGCCAAATTCTCGGACAGTGAATTGCAATTGTCTTTTATAAAACGACCGATTTCTTTGTATGCGCCTACGAATGAGGTTCCGTTGTCGGAGTATATGTGTTTAGATTTACCGCGACATGAAATGAATCGATGAAGTGCTGATAAGTAATTATTACTTGTTAGATCGCCTGTTAACTCGACGTGTACAGCCTGTGTCGCAAAACAAACGAAGATGAGAATATACACTTTCGTAAGCTTGCAACTACGGCCTTGACGACTGGCGGACATAATAGGTCCAGCATAATCGACGCCAACGCTCTCGAAGGGAAAAGGGAACCAGCCTTATTTTCTGTGGATGATTAGACGCGGCCACGAATGCCCCGGCTCCACTGGAGATTACAGTTTTTTAGAAATTCACCGCGCGTGGACCCACGGACCTAAAGTATCTACAGAAAATTTTTAAAATTAAACGCGATTAAATCCGTAAAGGTGGTTTAATCAATATGTAGTGTTCGCGTAAATATAAGAAATAAATATACAATTATTTCTTATATTTACGCGAACTTATTGAATATATTTATTTGTAAATGTATTGATATTTACAGGCTTCTACAGAGTCAACTATGACGATATTAACTGGTCTCTTCTGACCAGAGAGTTGAGAGGAGATAACAGAACCGTTATCCATGAACTGAATCGCGCTCAGGTAAGTTTCAGTTAAAAAACCCATATGTATATACGTATCTTTATCTCGTAGCTTCCTGTGGTTGCCTTTGAGTAACACGCATCAGAGGTCATCTGATCTAAAGATTTTGCATATCCACTTGCAAGTGTTTTCTGCGTGGCAGAACCATGTTGCAACTATATTGTGGTTGCAGCATGAATGACTTGGCTCGACCGGGGTAGGTTCACGCACTCACAGAATACCAGCGTAAAATAGCAGCGTAATGCTGCTGTGTTTCGTATGGTGAGTGTAGAGAACCGGAGACCCTTTTTACTGGAAATGAGGCATTCCATCGCAGTCCTTAGGGGTGACAACGCATGTGCATTTTAATTCTTAATTGAAGATAAATGTAGATGTCTATAGGCCACAGCATCCACTTACCATCAGGTGGAATGTGTGCTCGTTGGTCACCCTTATTTTATAAAAAAAAGTTCCACGCCCGCCAGAACGCAGCGCCGAATCACGTCTGGATCATCCATTTGGCCGTGGCTCCCCAGACTGATCACCGCGCTTGAACGAAGATCTTCCCTTTCCCTTCCATGGCCGAAGTGCTGACCCCCATGTGATTCTGTGCTGCGTTCTAGCGACCGCGTGATTTTGAAAGTATACCATTTATTGGCATACAAATATTTAAATAGAAATAAATAGCCCGGTTTATTACCAATTACGAGGTCAATCATCAAAGCATTATTGCATAATTTTAGTAAATGTCAAAAGAAATAAAAAATGAAAAGAAAGAACAATAATGTAAATAAAACACAAGAAAAATATTTCAAATATTTTCATGAATAAATTATTGCACTGAGTACTGATTTTTTTCAACAAATAGAGATTTAAGGTTTTTTAAGGTTTTCTATTGCATTTCCTTTAATATTGCTGCAAATGATTGTAGATAACAAGATCCTTCACTAGTATAAACTATGTCGTAATTGTGTTGTTTTAGCTTGTATACTAACAGTTTTATATTTTTTCTGTAAACAATGACAGGTGCACAAATGTTACGCTTTGCAACTATCAGTAGATTTAAAGCCCAAAATATTATACCTGCAACCATCTTGAAACAAAGAAGAAAACAGATGTGTTCCGCTATTTGGTAGCAAAATAGGTCCCACCATCCAGTAGACTGCTGTGTACTGTGTACTGGGTGGACCTCTTTTGTGTCTTTGTATAGTAGACATATATGTATTAATTACTCAGTCGCACTCCCAGACGGACAAAGACTCCGATCCGAAAACCAGACGCTACGCACCTTGTATGCTGCTGCCAGTTTCCAGTCTGGTTATTTCATGTCTAGCACATATGAGATGGTTATGCTATCCATCGGAAGTCAGGCGATCTTCCTGAGATTGAAATGCTGGCACCACCTTCAAACACAATACTTTAATAAATTAAAATATTGACAGATTGTGGATGATTTGTTTGCACTTGCGAGAGCAGGCGTGAAGTCTTACGATAGGATTTACAACATCGTGTCGTTCCTTGAGTTCGAAGATGCATATGCACCGTGGATTGCGGCCATTAATGGTTTCAATTTCGTTATAAGGCGGCTGGCTCATGATACAACAAACCTTCAAAAATTATACGTAAGTAAAAAAAAAACGAAAAGTAAAATTACAGTCTATATAATATATTCTGAACAAACTCTTTCTCTTATTTCTGAGAGAGTTTTGAAGCTGGGAAGTTTCCACTATACTATCTTAATTAGAATTTCTCATGTCCTAATTATAAAAATTTTTATTTTAAGGTATTTATATATCGTGGTATACCCATGATGCAGTTATATTAGTAGGATAGTTTTAGTACGAATGGGTCGGCTCGACCGGGGAAGGACCACGCTCTCACAGAATACCAGCGTAAAATAGTAGCTTAATGCTACTGTGTTTCGTGTGATGAGTGTAGAGAATCAGAGACTTTTTTTTACTGGAAACGAGACATTACATCTTAGTCCTGACGGGTCACAACGCATGTGCATTTTGATTCGTAATCGAGGATAGATGTAGATATCTGTAGGCTACAGAAACCACTTAAAATCAGATGGACTGTATGCTCGTTTATCACCTTATCCCATAAAAGAATATTCGGATTATCGGATGACGTTTTCAATCGTCTCCAAATATTTGGTAAATCTACAATTAAAATTAGAGTAAAAACGGCCGATAAAATTTTACTTACGATTAGTAATAACAAGACGTAGTTCACAGGTAATTTCAGGTTTGAACTATTATCATCATAATTATCAGCTTGCGGCAGTCCAAGGCTGGACAAAGACCCCAAGGCGCGCTACTTAGCCTATTTAGTTTAAAATATAGTTTAAAAAAACAACTGAAGAGGGATTAGCTTCAGGAGCAACAGTTTTACGTGCTTTCCGAGGCACGAGTGTGAAATGGCGCCAACTTCCTGACGACAGGCTGGCACTGAGAATTTCTTGACACAACTACTTAATTACCGATGTTTTTCACTTTACCTGGGTTTTTTTTACTTGTGATTTACTAGGAATGGATTCATACCCGTGATCCGCAGTAATCTTTACAACCACTAGCCCAAAGAGGCAGTGTGTGACTTGTAACTTGTAACTTGTAATGTAACTTTTTTAACTTATACCGTGTACTTATTAATTTGTCTCCATATCAACGCAGGACAACATAAAATCACTTAGTGTTGCAATTACTCAAAGGCTTGGTTATTCCGAAATTGCCGGGGAGTCATACATGGATGGTCTACTCAGGATGCATGTCCTAACGTTCCTTTGTAATATTGGTCACGAGCAATGTATATCCGAAGCGAAGACAAATTTCCAAAACTGGAGAAATGGTGAATTGTAAGTAATTCAAAAGTGTATGTAATCAAAATAATTAACAAAGTATATTATCTACACTCGCTGTTCGAGATGTATTCAAAATATATGCACAATATGGAACAAAAACCCTGTGGTTCCCGTTAAGTGCGATATCAGAATCATATTCAAGTGTATAGAAATAACATTTTTTTTAAATCGCGATCGCTAAAAATATAATTTTAATTAAAAATATTTAATTTGCAAATTGTATCTGGTTTTACCTCTGCATTGTCCGGGCTACTGCGCGGGCGTGGATTGTCAAAGACCTCATTTTATCGATGCTCGTGTCAGTTAAAACTCATCTCAGCTAACAAAATCACATACAATTTCCAATAAAAAAAAATCTACATTTGAATACTGATTATTATAACGTACTTAACGGGAACCACCAGGTTTTTGTTACATGTTGTATACAATTGTTATCAGCCCGTACGGACATGGACAGAACATGAGCCGCTTTTGTAGTGGAAGTGAAAGGAAGATTTATATTAATCGTCATGATTGGCACGCGAATATACGACGGTCATAGGTCGGGAGGCGTAAAAAGTGCGAGACGTCTGAAATACCTTACACTTTTCACGCTACTACCCAACACAACTCTGGGTTCTTATGTCTGCCGTAAACCAGATAGTATAACGCCATCTATACGAAGAATTTAAACATGGTAGATCCATGCTGCAGCTATATTATGGTTGTAGGACTAAGCTCTCACAGAATACCAGCGTAAAATAGCAGGTGAATGTTGCTGTGTATGGTGAGTGTAGAGAACCGAAGTTCCTTTTTTAGAAGCGAGGCATTCCATCTTAGTCCTCAGGGTTGACAACGCATTTGCATTTTGATGTATATGATGTATACTATGAGCCACAATATCCACATACCAACAGGTGAACTGTGCGCGCCTTTGTCACCATTAGGTATTCTATAAAAAGGATATTAGTTTTTCTGACATTTATCATACTAGACCCATTAGATTAAATGGGTGGAATGAATAGATTTGTATAGTTTTATGTCTTCATGACACTGCCGAATCTTCTCTCCTTTTATTATTTATCAATTTATCATCATGGATCCTAATCACGATATAAGAAAACATTAACAATATACTCGTAAATACAAAAATCATAAACATACAGCTAATATATAAACGTGTCAAACGTTTCTCGAATCGAAGTTTGTGTTTGTAATACATATAAACCAATTAATTTAGTATTTAATTGCAGCATTAATGCAAATATGCGTCCCTGGGTATATTGCGTAGGCCTTCGTGAGGGAACCGATGAAGATTTTACATATTTCTGGAACCGTTACTTGACTGAAGACCTTGCCAGTGAAAAGGTTGTGATGTTAGAGGCAGCTGGTTGCATTAACAATCAATCTACCTTATGGAGATACCTGGATGCCATCGTTGCTCTAGACGATGCAATAAGGCCACAGGATTACAACACTGCATTGTATTCTGCAGTGACCGGCAATGAAGATAATACAATGAGAATGTTTGAATGGTTAAAGAACAATATTGCTCCAGCTACTACAGCGTTAGTATATAAAATTTTAATTATAATTAGAAGTTCGTCAAATAGCATTGACTGCTCTGTTCCGACCTAAAGGGTATAGGGAGCTGGTATAATTACAGGCTGTGAGGTATTCTATCTTGATTCTCGGAGATGATAGATAGAATATCTGTGAACTTTTTAGTCTGAACCTGAATGCAAGTGTTTACAGAGTGCAGTAGCCGCTTACCATCAGGTGGACAGTAAGTTCATTTGTCACTCCATTCTTATAAAATATTTAGGTTGTTTTTATTCAGCTTTTGTAACCTTGAAATGATTTTGTCGGTCTTCAATCTAACAGTCCCGATCCTAAACTGTTTTATCGTCTAATATTTATCAGTTGACAATAACTGATAAGAGGTAATATTCGAGAAACTTTCTTCCTCATCGGATCTGAGTGCTTTTGGCCATATGTGACTCATTTCCATTTCAACTTATTGATTCGCTTTACAGGATTACCATCATCATTACAGCCCTTCACATGTCCACTGTCAAACCTAGACCTCCCAAGCAAAGTCACGAAATATAGTCCTGAGACACCTGCATTCATCGACTTTCTGCAATGACTCTCCCTCTATTGGAAGGTCACACTACATTTCACTTACTGGTATGAGGCTGCCACTTGAGCATCTTTGTTCCTCATCGGTTGTCGGTTGTTCAAGCTATATAAAAGTTCTACAGCCACTTAAGCTTACTGGTCCATTTTGATATGTCGCTTACTCTGATTCTACTATGAATATCTTCATTTCGAACCCTAACTGACACAGAAACTCAGAGCATAGCATAAGATAGAGGTGTTCAACTTTTGAATATTAGAGAGAAAACGTCCGAACAGTTTGTATGACGGTAAGTAGTAGCAGCTTATGAGAATCCCCTGCCTCTTATCATCCTGTGAGGTTTTTCAATGGCTATAGAAAGAAATGAATCGGGAGATGGGCCGCAGCATTTCCTGATAACACAAAATATTAAAAACTCTGTAGTTGCCTACCCACTTACTAAATGTGGCAACTATAGCAAATACATTCGATGCTTATATTCAGCAGTGGATTCTGACTGTAATGTTAAGTGGTGCTGCAGCCGATAGACATCTGAAAAAAAGACTAGAGTTGCGTTGTGCTACGAAGGCATCAATTGTGTATTAATGATATGGATTTGTTGCTGCTAAAATGTGTAAAAGAGTATAGTTTCTACAAAAATAAGAATCTATCGAATCTAAGGGGCCGGAATGAGAAGAAGAAATTGAAGACAAATGTGTTCTAAGTTGATTGATTTACATGATTTCATTGATTCACAATTTTCAATAATATTAAGATTGTCAAGTTATTAAATACTAAAAGCCAATGTGCCCGAGTAGTGGCGGGTAAGAATATCCACTTCTCCGTGTCTTTCCGTGCGTATCGTAAGAGGCGACAGAGGGAAACTGAGGTAGAAGATGAGCAGCAGCATCATTCTGATAACAGCAAAATAACAATAAAGACTGCAGTTGCCAATCCGCTCGCCAAGCGTGGCAACTAAGGCAATATACCCCCCATGGTGAGAGTTACGAAGAGACGGCCTCCAATTCTCAGCGGCCCCGCTATTTCTGGCTAAGATGGCAACCATCATAAGGGTGAAGAGAGGGTGTTAAGAATCTCTGGTGGAGGTTTGATTGCCACCTAAGACGACTCGACCTGGCTACGTATAACGCACGCACCTTGAGGATTGACGAAATGATTCTGGAGCTAGAAGAAGAGATAGACAAGCTGCATTGAAATATTGTTACGAGCTTGAGGTTCGTGACAATAAAAATTGCCGATAGAATTACCAAAATTAACACTTTAATTCCCTTTACACTAATTAAAGTTAAAAACACTAATAATTAATCACACTGATTCACTTAATTCCGCTCCGAAGCTTCGCTTGTCTCGCCAAATCAACAACTTCTCTGATCGCGTATTGCAGCGCCTTTATATAGGGCTGTTCCACGAAAACATCCAGAATATTCCAGAATATTCGAGTAAATACGCGCGCCAACCGACCAAGCGCAGAAAGATCGAGTGCAGACTTTCTAGAAAGTTTAGTTCTTCAATTTGATACTAGATGGCGCTGTCGGTTAAGAAATTAGTCGTGTCGTTTTCTGGAAAGCTCTCTCCTCGCTCTGTTACCCGACACTAGATGGCGCTAGTGCCATGAGATGAGATGTCAACTTAGCCGCGCAACAATATTATAAGATAATCCGAGGTCTGAAGAGAGAGGCAGTACACGGTAATCTATGAATCCGACAACTCGTTCTATTACCGTCAGGGCGATCAGTTGTCTTAAGGAGGTGTCAGATTTATCATCCGCAAGTCTCTCGTTAACAACGTTGTAAAGATGTGAATGTGTCGACGAAGGTTGCTTACCTTACACCCAGAATCACCAAAGGTATTCGCTAAATTCGTACAGGTTTACGCACCAACCTTGGCACATCCCGTGAAGGAGGTGGAGGAAATGTAGGAGTATAGAGCCATGCATTCCTCCAAAACCTATTACATATATACGGTGTTATTGGGAGACATCAACGGAAAAATAGGCACAAGATGGAACGGCTAGCTGGTGGTAAAGATAGGGAAATTCGTAATAGGGCAACGGAACCCAAGGGGAGGGGAAGGGGAACAAGCAGTTGGTCGACTTTATGGAGAAAGAGGGACTCTTTATGATGAACTATTTCTTCCAGAAGCGGGCCCACAGTAAGTGGACCTGGTCGAACCCAAAAGGTTCGACAAAAATTGAGATTGATTTTATTGTGACAACTTGACGGAAACTGTTCAGTGATATCCCCTCAGTGATCGCGAGGGTGAAAACCGGCAGCGATCAACGAATGGTGAGGCACACTGAACCTAAATGTTCACGTCTAATGAAGTCAACATTTTGTCACTCTCGTGCTCTAATCCAAAGTCCCGAAAACTTTCGGCTTGAGTTACAAAATCGTTATCAGTGCCTAGAAAATTGATACGCAGTGGACGATATGAATGGCATGATCACACTTTTAATCTCATGTTTGTTAGACGGGAAATGAAGCCGTAGTCTGCAGCAGATTTAACAACATACGCAACTCAACAGACGGATCTCCAAATGCATGCAGTGGATCTTACCCAACTTCAATACAGCTTTTATTGAATGAGCGATCGAACGGAACCAGGGTTACAAAGTATTTTCCAGAGATCTGTCTGTCAGAAAGAGCTTGCTATCGAAGCTGAAGACCAAGTGTGGCAACATCGTTTCCGGGACACCTGAGATTTTGAATGAGATTGAGAGGTTCTATGTGCAGCTGTAGACGTCATGGTTGGAGCCACACGCAAGTGTGAATAACGATACCGGAACAAGTCTTATCCGACACTATTCCGATGATATTCCGGAATTCAGTCTCAGCCAGATTAGAATGGCTCTCCAGCACCTTAAAAACGGCAAGTCTCCGGCCAAGGATGAAATTACAGCGAAGCTTCTGAAAGCGAGCACTAGAAAACCAGCACTTGAAGTCCTTTAAAAGCCCTTTAATTCCGTCCTACATGGTGGCACCATACCGGAGGCGTAGAGCAGAAGTGCGGTGGTCTGTTCCTTCAAGAAAGGCGACAACGCTCTTTTGAAGAAATATAGAGCGATTTCCCTTCTAAGCCGCGTCTGCGTGCTGTTTTCGAGAGTCGTAGGTATATAGGTGGTGGTATAGGTGTAGTCATGAGGTGGACTGTGTGCTTGTTTGTCACCCTTATTCTATTATATAATAATAATATGTGGACTATGAGAAAACCTAAGATTCCGTCGAAATTTGGGCCGTGCACAGTCCTTTCAGCGGTGCCAAGTTTACTGTCAGTATATCGAAGTGCTGAAGTGTTTGTACAGTAGGGTTTCGATGGCTATCCGAGTGCACAACCAGTGTACGGACACTATCGAACCGCAGAGTAGTATAAGACAAGGTGACGTTATATCCCGGAAACTCTTCACTGCTGCATTGGAAGACGTTTTCAAGCTACTGGACTGGAAAGGATACGGTATTAACATCATTGGTGAGTACATCACCCACCTTTGATATGCTGACGATATAGTCCTTATGGCAGAATCGCTGGAGGACATAAGCAATATGCCCAATAACCTCAATAGTGTCTCCCAACGGATATGTCTTAAGATGAACATGAACAAAACAAAGATCATGTTGTGTAACGTCCATGTCACACCTATGCCGGTAGTTGTTGGGAGCACTATGCTCGAAGTTGTTGACGAGTGTGTTTACCTAGGACAAATAGTCCGACTAAATAAGTGCAACTTCGTCCGAGAAGTCAATCGACGGATTTAACTCAGCTGGGCAGCGTTCGGTAAATCACGACACATTTTCTTGTCAAGTATACCTCAAAACTTAAAAAAAGAGATTGTACAACCAGTGAGTTGTCAGTGATAACTTATGGATCTAAGAGGTGTTCCTTCACTGCTGGCTGTATGGGGAAACTCAAGATTGCTCAGCAAGCTATGAAGAGCTCTATGCTCGGGGTTTCTTTGCGTGATACACTTAGAAATGAGGATATTCACGGAAGAGCCAGAGTGACTGACGTAGCGCAACGGATTAGTAAGCTGAAGTGGCAATGCGCCGGCCATATAGCTCGAAGAACCGACAATCGTTGGGGCAGAAAGGTTCACAAGTGGTAGTCTCATACCAGTAGGCGAAGTGCAAGTGGACCCCCACTAGATGGAATGACGACCTGGTAAGACGTGGAGGAAGTCGATGGATGCAGACGGCTCAGGACCGTGCTTTTTGGTATTACTTGGTGGAGGTCTATGTTCAACAATGGAATTTTGAAGCGCTGAAATAATGATGATAAGCCAGTGTCTTGACCACTATCCCATCTGACGGTAAGTGATGATGTAGCTGAAGATGCTGTGCACTGTCTAAGCTTTAAGAAGACTTTTCACTCTTCTCTTTAATACGAACACATTGTAATCGGTTGGAAAAACAAATGCTGATAAACTATTCCATTATATTGCTATACGCATTAAAATAACAAAGCTGGCACAGAGTTTTACAAAGCCTACAGGACAAAATGGTGATATTATTTTTTCTGTATATTTACATATCAAATGGAAAAGATTAAACAAAGTAAAGTAATACACTCATTGCTTGACGTAGGTCTTCAGTGATACATTCAATATTGTATCAGCATCGTTATCGTTACAGCCCTTCATAAATCCATTTTTGAACAAAGGCATATTCAATACATATCCTGGTTTCCACTGTTGAAATTATTTCTAAGCTAAATGTTTTATACTATAATTAAAGGCTTTTTAAAATTGTTAAATTATAACATAAATAACTAGGATAATTTTTTTGTACAGGTTAGGCAGCTTAGCCACTCCTATTAGTTACATAGCTGCACGTCTTTTGAATGAACAACAAATCGCTGAGGTAAAAATATATTTCATCACTTTTATGTTCATTATGATTATTTATACCTTTACTAGTAAAACTTATCATTTCTTTCTTACATTCTCATTAACCTAATAACTAGGTAAAAGCTTATACCTAAGGTATATACAGGTTGTTAGTGTAAACACCGTTGTCCTTGAAACCAGTGTTTTGGTTTCACTTATAGAACGTAAATTAAATGAAAAATAACAACGTTTTTTTTAATAAAATCTCAATTTTTCCTTAATTCCTCAATTTTTGCTTGTCCTAAGCCAGGATGAAAGTATGAAGGAAAAGTTAGATCGCAGGTTATGTGTACCTATTGTATTTTTATGTTGAATGTTATGTAGGTAGCTAGTGCGGGCGGTGATCTTTCCAGTAATTACGTCACTCAGGCGCATAGGGTGTCCATGAATTTAAAGACGGTGTCGGACAGAAACTTTTTAAATTTTATAAAAGAAAATAGCGTTTTTTTAAATTTATTGAATTTACGTTCTATAAGTGAAACCAAACCACTGGTTTCAAGGACAACGGTGTTTACACTAACACCTTGTATATACATAAATATTAATTAAGAGTTTCCCACTTGGGATTTTTTTTAAAACTGCAAGGTAGGAGAACACTTTGCCTATTATTAGAGATTAATGCCTTTGATTATTATTTGATTCTAAACATTTCTTAAAACGTGAGTTGTTCGACGCAGAGACACATAAAGTGTTAGCTCGTTTTAAAATTTTCGACATCGCCCTTATATTAATACACAATGTGACTGTAACGTAAAAAATTTTAAGGAATATTTATAAAGAACGTTATGATTTATGATAATAATTCTATTCTATTGTCTTGTTTTTTGAAAGATCAACAATAAAATAAAATAAAGGAATTATAAGATTGTCGGAGAAAGGTTTCTTAATAATTAATAATAATAAATTTATTGTAATATGAACTTCACGACATTTTGCGGAATCTGATTGTATTCCAATCACTTTAAATTGATGATACTGTTGTAAATTAAGATTTACTAGTTGATAATAATTCAAGCATTAAGTCTGTATTGTGTATCTATACATTGTGTTAATTTAAAAAAAGAATAGGTAAATAAATAGAGCCTATATAAAATCATGCGAACGTCACTGATACTTGATGTTCGTAACTCTAAGCCCTTGGTGTAGTTTAACTGATTATAAGACATGAATGACGTTTTGTTATTGGTAGGCATTGATAGCTTACTGCACAGAGTACTTTTTATATAGGAAAGCTTAGTGATTATTGTTTTACTTTAAAGAACTCACATGAAAACGTTAAAATTGTTTCAACTAAGGAAAATACAATTTGTGAACAATATAATGTATTCAGTGCTAGTAATAACTGTTAATATTATCTGTTAATATTTCGAAATTAGTGAGCACCTTTTAAGCTTATACATTTTATTTCAGTTCCAAGCATGGCTAGAAGCAAACCGGGACGTTTTAGGTACGGCATATAATACTGGTATTAGCGGCATTGCTTCGACGAGGTCTAATCTTGAATGGTCTTCGAGCCGCATGACAGAAATGGAGAGATACTTCGAAGTGGGTTATGTCGAAGATACCATTGTCATTGACGGTGGTGAAGAGCAACCAGAAGTTGATGGTGCTGAAGAAATTGAAGAAGAAGAAGTAGAAGAAGGAGGAGAAGGTGAAGAAGATGGTGAAACGGATTCTGCTAGTGTTGCGGCGCTTAGTATCATGACTCTTGTTACAACTGTTGCCTTTAATATAATGGTTTAGTTTATTGAACAATGTGTATATCATTAAACAACTAAGTAAATAAAATTAAAGAAAGGCTTCATAACTTTTCCTTTTAAACATCACCCGAAAGATTTTTTATAGAATGGAGGTCACAAAGAGCAAATAGTTTACATTTATTTTCGATTAAGAATCGGAATACAGATGCGTTGTCACCCCTGATTACTACGATAGAATGCCTCGTTTCCATTAGGAAGAGTTTCCTGTGCTTTACCCTCAACAAACAAAACAGCTGAATTAAGCTGCTATTTTACGCTGGTGAAATATTGATTTGGCTGGTGTGAGAACGTCGTCCTTTCCCGTTCATGCTACAATCATAATATAGCTGTAGCATGGCTCTACCATGTAAAAAAAAAAAAAACAAATTTGCCAACAACATATTAAATGTAAACGGAGAAGGGTTCGTTTTATTTTATTAGAATATCAGTAAAAAAGTGTGGCTGTAGAGAATATTCAGTGAACAAAAACTGCTTATTCCTTTTGAAGAGGTTAATAGCGCTAGAGATGGCTTGTCTTCCATAAAATTGATCTGGATTTCTTTTGTAACGTGGCAGCGTAAGAGAACCTACTACCCTAATTTGTCCCGTGGGTGTTTTAAATTAATACTATGGGATATGTCAAAAAGATCTCAGTGCGTAGATCGCGGAATAAGAATCTTGTTTATGTCTGACATAAAGTATTTGGACCGACAAAGAGAAGCAGCCTCAGTACTGCATTTGTTCATCCACCAACAAAGTGTGAGCATGGAAGAGGCCCAAGGACAAGACCAACGGTGAACATTTAGAGGCTGATGAATTAAAGAATGTTAGAAGTTCCACTATTGGGGATAGGTATGAGCTTAGTACTTATTATACTATAAATTCTTATACAAAAAATTTTAGCCAATGAACTTGTTATAAATAAAATATATACGTCCGATTGCTGGACCAAGAGCTCACACTTATAACAGGGTTAGGAATTTTCATCATAATTTTTCTCCGATGTTTTCTTTCATCTTCGCAAACGTTGGCACTTAAAATTGCAATGAGAATTGGTGCCAGCGGAAAATTGAACTTGATCTATTCGAGTACTAGAAAGTCTTCAGGCAAGCGCTTATTCTCTTAGCTACCAAAATATTTTTGATGATACTTTTTTATAAGAGAGGGGGCAAGCGAGAATACGGCTCACCACATTAGTAACTCAAGGGAAATTCAAGATGCATTGCCGGCCTTTTAGAAAGGAGTAAGTTAAGTCATATCGGTCCGGAAAAATTGTCGGTGGTAAACTAAGAGGTTGTATGAGGAAGAAAATTCCTTGTAAAACGTGTAGTTGTAATGTTGGAAGGTGCTAATGAAAAGAGAGGCGTGTCGCTCTTGCTATAACTTTAGTTATACTGTTCACTTAACAGCTACGATTAACAATAATATATACTGTCTTGGGTGTAGTTCTACATCTCCCACTGACAAAAATATTAAAAAAATATTTTCTTATATTATAACAAATTGCCGGACTCGAGGATTACCGTGTCCTCCCCCTCTCTTCGGACCTCAGATAATCCAATAATATGCCAGCGCAACTTGTCTACCTCTTCTTCCAGCTCCATTATCTTCTCGTCAGTCCTCAGGGTGCGTGCGTTATACGTTGCCAGGTCGAGTCGTCGTAGGTGGTAACCGAACCTCCACCGGAGATTCTTAGCACCCCCTGCCCCGCCGTTACCATGGTCGACAGTCCGGCAACTTGTTCTATCATCGGGAGGGCGACCATCTGTCCCAAGGAGGTGTCGGATTTATCGTCCAGAAGTCTCTCGTCAACAACGTTGTAAAGATTGGGAGTGTGTCGACGAGGGTCGCGTACCTGATACTCAGAATCACCAAACGGTATTCGCTGAAGGTCATACAGGTCTACGCACCAACCTCGGCACATCCCGATGAGGAGGTGGAGGAAATGTATGAGGATATTTCTAAAGCCATGCATTCCTTCAAAACCCACTACACGGTGTTGATGGGAGACTTCAACGCAAAACTAGGCATAAGAGAAGGCGGTGAGCTGAAGTTAGGGAATTTTGGAGTAGGGCAACGGAACCGTAGGGGGCAGCAGCTGGCTGACTTTATGGTGAAAGAGGGACTCTTTATGATGAACTCTTTCTTCCAGAAGCGGCCCCAAAGGAAGGGGACCTGGTCGAGCCCCGACGGTTCGACAAAAAATGAGATTGACTTCATTATGATGACCAGACGCCAACTGATCAGTGATGTCTCAGTGATCGCAAGGGTGAAAACCGGCAGCGATCACCGAATGGTTAGAGGCACACTGAACCTAAACGTTAAGTTGGAGAGGTCTCGTCTAATGAAGTCAACGCTCCGTCCCCCTCGTGCTCTAATCCAGAATCCCGAATCTTTTCAGCTCGAGTTACGTAACCGCTTTCAGTGCCTAGAAGATTGCAATGCAGTGGACGATATGAATGACAAGCTCGTGGAAACTGTCCATGCGGTCGGAGCTAAGTTCTGCAAGACCCGTTGCAGAAGAACACAAAAACTCTCCGATCACACTCTTAATCTCATGGCTGTTAGACGGGAGATGAGGCTGCAATCGTCAACAGATTTGACAGCATACAGGCAACTGAACAGACAGATCTCCAAATGCATGCGGCGAGACTTACGCAACTTTAATACTGCTCGTATTAAAGAAGCGATCGAGCGGAACCAGGGCTCCAAAGTCTTTGCCAGAGATCTGTCTGCCAGAAAGAGCCAACTGTCAAAGCTGAAGACTGAGTGTGGCAGCATCGTTTCCGAGACACCTGAGATTTTGAGTGAGATTGAGAGGTTCTATGGGCAGCTGTACACATCATCGTTGGAGCCACATGCAAGTGTGAGTAACGATTCAAGAGCAAGTCTTACCCGACACTATTCCGATGATATCCCGGACGTCAGTCTGAGCGAGATTAGAATGGCTCTCAAGCACTTTAAAAACGGCAGGGCCCCAGGCGAGGATGGAATTATTGCGGAGCTTCTGAAAGCGGGTGGAACACCGGTACTTGAAGTCCTTCAGAAGCTCTTCAATTCCGTCCTCCATGGTGGCACTACTCCGGAGGCGTGGAGCAGAAGCGCGGTGGTCTTTTTCTTTAAGAAAGGCGACAACGCTCTCTTGAAGAACTACAGACCGATTTCCCCTTCTGAGCCGCGTCTACGTGCTGTTTTCGAGAGTTATTACGAATCGTCTCGCACGCAGACTCGACGACTTCCAGCCTCCCGAACAAGCCGGTTTCCGAAAAAGGCTTCAGTACCATAGACCACATACATACCCTGCGGCAGATTGTACAGAAGACCGAGGAGTACAATCTGCCACTTTGCCTGGCGTATGTGGACTATGATAAAGCCTTTGATTTTGGGCGGTGCTACAGTCCCTTCAGCGGTGCCTAGTTGACTGTCGGTATATCGAAGTGCTGAAGTGTTTGTACAGTAGGGCTACGATGGCTATCCGAGTACAGAACCAGAGTTCGAAGCGTATCCAACTGCAGAGAGGTGTAAGACAGGGTGACGTTATATCCCCGAAACTCTTCACCGCTGCGTTGGAAGACGTTTTCAAGCTACTGGACTGGAAAGGATACGGTATTAACATCAATGGCGAGTACATCACTCACCTTCGATTTGCCGACGATATAATCCTTATGGCAGAATCGCTGGAGGACCTTAGCACTATGCTCAATGACCTCAATGGTGTCTCCCAACATATTGGTCTTAGGATGAACATGGACAAAACAAAGATCATGTTTAATGTCCATGTCACACCTATGCCTCTAGTTGTTGGGAGCACTATGCTCGAAGTTGTTGACGAGTACGTTTACCTGGGACAAATAGTCCGACTAGGTAAGTCCAACTTCGACCGAGAGGTCAATCGACGGATTCAACTCGGCTGGGCAGCGTTCGGGAAATTACGACACATCTTCACGTCAGGTATACCTCAATCTCTGAAAACTAAAGTGTACAACCAGTGCGTGTCCTTCACCGCTCAAAGGACGCTCAAAGTCGCTCAGCGAGCTATGGAGAGGGCTATGCTCGGAGTTTCTCTGCGTGATAGACTCAGAAATGAGGATATCCGCAGTAGAACCAGAGTGACCGACATAGCCGAACGGATTAGTAAGCTGAAGTGGCAATGGGCCGGCCATATAGCTCGAAGAACCGATAACCGATGGGGAAGAAAGGTACTCGAGTGGCAGCTTCGTATCGGTAGGCGTAGTGTAGGGCGACCCCCACTAGATGGAGTGACGACCTGGTAAGACATGCAGGAAGTCGATGGATGCAGGTGGCACAGGACCGTGCTTTTTGCGTTGCATGGGGGGAGGCCTATGTTCAGCAGTGGAGTTATGAAGGGCTGTAATGATGATGATGATGATGATTATAATAAATTAATATAAATTAAAAAAAAACTAACATTATAATAATTTATACCTATTATAACTTTCATCGTGGCTTGAGTAGGGCGGCTGGCCAAACCAACAACAGCAAATAATAGTTCTGTAGTTTCAGTCTGTAGTTCTGTAGACATGAGTAGTAGTTAGTTAGTAACAGTTCTGGCTCACTGAGTCAGAAGTGGTACAAGTACGAATCTAAAAAAAACGAAATCTAAAAAAAAGAAAGAAGGTTTTGGCATGCTCTGATCACGAATCTGCGGTCCATTTTTGCGTAGGATGCACGGTTCCGGAGATGTGCAGATCAATTAACTCTTATCTAATTGATATCCGGTGAGGGCCTCCACCGTCATTAGCGCCCAATTGTTATTTATCTATTGTTCATTGAATACCGTCATTGTCTATTCGTGCGTCGGACTATCAGTGCTATTATATTATACTCCTTTGTTCCTAATTGCAACGGTAATCTGAATCATGAATAAAATACATTACCTAATTTGGTTACAATTTTTATTTACGAAATACAAAATCTTATTACTTATTTTCTATAAAATAGGAGCGAAACATCTCATCCACTAAAATATCGTTGTACAATGTG